CCATTTAACTTTATGTTTCACTTTTCTATAGATTAAATAAAATAACAGCATATAATAAAAGAGCAAAATTGAGACTATCATTTCCAAATTACATTTAGTAATTCGCTTTTTTAATTAATCTTTACTTTTTTTTTCCTGCTGCATCAAAAAGATTTGAAGGTGCCCCCAAAATTTTAATTAATACGTTGTTTCCATCGTGGCAAAGTTCTTCCTGCTTTGGTTTGTGAACAGAATCAGAAATACTTTCACAAATTAAACATTGAACTTTGTATCTGTATCGTTTAAGCAGTCTTTTCATCCTAGAAATCTATGCGTATATTTTTAAACTAAGTTAAATGCCTGGAATAATTAAATAAACTAATATTATTTTTAACTTCATTTGTCTGTACGATCAAACTATATACAAGTATTTAACAATTCGCTGTCACATTTTTTGTAAAGGAAGAAGTAATGAAGGAATTCATCAAAAGTGAGTTATTTGGTGCCTTCAATTTTATTCGGAAATGAGATTTCTGCCACGAATGTTTGATTTCAAATGTAAAGAAGGGGATAGATTTGCAAGAAACAGGAAAATGGCGTGATGGTTACATGACGCCAATCTTATTTTTCAATGTTATGTAAAAAAAAACTAAATAAATCAGAAATTCTTACGAATTTCACAAATGTTTTCTAAAGGTACGAAAAGAGAGTGATAGGAAAGGAATTTTAATAAATTTGCCGAATGGTTAAACAAGATTTACCGAATGGTCAGACAAGATTTACCGAATGGTTAGACAAGATTTGCCTAACGTGGAAAATTTTTGGGAGGTCATAATGACCTCCCTCGACCTCTCATCCCGGCTCCCCTGATTAGCAGGGGTGAGGAAATAGGATTTTTTTGCTTTCCATCTATCTGATTGATTTTTGTATAACCCGAAAGGTTAACAAAAACAAAATTTAAAAAAAAATAATCAGGAAAGTTATAATTAATTATCTAACGTTAATGTTTTATTTATTTATTTTTTAACTAATATCAAGGGTTATTTAATTCTTTCTTTGCCTTCAACATCTGTGCTTATGTGACATGTGTGTGACGGCAGACTATCTTTCTAATCTATATTCAACGAGATTTGCCTATTACTTAATTATTTGTTATTCGATTAGTGGTATCGTGAAAAATTATGTCTTCATCTTAGCTGCAAATTATTTCTCATTTTCTTACATTTAGTAGGTTTATTTATTGCGTAGTATAAAAGGACAGTAACAGCTCATTGTGATCAAGGGGCTCATGACGGTTAAAAGCTTTTCAATTTCATCACCACCTGCCTGAGTGTGGAAATGTGGTCAGTATTGTGCACAAGCCGTCTTTACTTTAAGCGAGCAAGTTTCTATCGATCTGAAGGACTTCAAGCAAGCCACAGAGGATCGAACCCCAGTTCTTCACAAGAATTTAGGGCAGTGGCGTACATAGACATAGGTGCGTCCCCCTGCAAGAATTATAAATGCGACCTATCTTATACTTAACACAATATTCTGAAAATTATAATATTAGACAAGAACACTATGAAAGAGACATTCGGGATTGTCCAGATGATAAAATTGATGGTTATTATTTTATCAATTGAAAATAACCACGGAAAAACCGATCATTGATTAAGATTTGGCTCGCTCAAAAGCTTAAATGCGCAATTCAAAATTTCTGAGTTTTTTTTTTCAAAATATATATATATTATATAAGTTCAAAATGAAGATAAAACAAAGAAAAATTATAGACATATGTAAAAGGGGGGGAAATAACAAGTAAAAAAATAACAAACAACAGTTAAAAAAAAAAAGGATGAAATTTAATTTAAAAAAAAACAGGAAAAAAAAGATATAATCTTTTCATCAGCCTACACGATTACATCCGCAAAAAAGAGTGCTTTCTGATATTGTATCAAAAGCAAAATGTATTACTACAATAGTGTGAAGAGCACTCAAAAAATTTTTTTACAAAAATTACAACAAATAAAATGGAACACAATAAGAAAAAATAACATGTAAAAACAGAAAATAAAATAAAATAAAAAGAAAAAAGAGTATAACACATAGACTATAAAGCGAGTAGCGAAATCAGATGCACTTACATGGACGGGAAATTTTTCAAGAATGATTTAAAAATGTTTTCGCCACAAGATTGCCAGATTACAAAAAATGAAAACAAAAGCGCAAATTGAGTGTAACTAGAGGGTTTTAAAGTGCCGTTCTTACTGAACTGCTAAAGTGATTTGTTAGTTACCAAGGATGGGCCCGAAATGGATGTGCGCAAGGTAATATTATACTGGATAATTTAAAAAAGGTGACCATAAATAGTTTTAGAAAATAGATGTTTATTTAAGAAAAAATATAAATAGAAAATAAAAACATAAATTGCCTGTTTTGCAAATAACTTTAGCCACGGATTTGCTCGAAATGGATTTGCACATGGAAAAATGATATACATTATCAAAGAAAAAAAATTTAATAGATAATTTCAACACGGATTTGCCCGAAATGGATTTGCCCGAAATGGATTTGCACATGGAAAAATTAACAAAGAAAAAAAATTTTAATAGATAATTTTAGCCACGGATTTGCCCGAAATGGATTTGCACATGGAAAAATTGTATAAATTAATAAAGAAATTTTTACTAGATAATTTTAGCCACGGATTGGCCCGAAATGGATTTGCACATGGAAAAATTATATAGATTAACAAAAGAAATTATTTAGTAAAAGAATTTTTTAGTAAACAATTCTAACCACGGATTTGCCCGAAATGGATTTGCACATGGAAAAATTATACAAATTAACAAAGAAATTATTTAGTAAATAATTTTGGCAATGGATTTGTGCATGGGAAAATTATATAAATTAACAAAGAAAATGTTTAGTAAATATATCCACAAAAATATACGATTAATTCAATGATTTTATATAAAATTTTATTACTTTAGTTGGGTATCCATTGTTTTTTTATCAAATTTTGAAAGAGTTTATAGATTTGTTTTTTTGGGTAAATAAATATTACTACATATTCTTTTAATTCTGTTTATTTCATTAAAAGTGGTATTTAAATAGATGCACCTAGAAACATTAGAATTCCAAGTAATTAGTTTATTAATATTAAAATTAAAATCATTTCTTTTATCGTTTAAATCAACAAAGCAGATATTTTCAACTATTATAATACCCAAATCCAAAAAATTTAAATTAATATTATTATCATGATTACGAAGTAAGATTAATTCCTCAGGGTAAATATCATTTAATAAAATAGTAAAATTTTGGAAATTAAAGATAATTAAGTCATCAATATATCGAAAAACAAGTTTAATACTAACAAGGGAAACTAGGGAAGTGTGACTCGCCAATTTTATAATAAACTAGTGGGATGTATGCCCTATGAGGAATAATTTTAGGGGGAAACATTCGTTTCGGCCCATAGAAGGTCCTGTGAGAGAAAAAAAATAAGTCAATATATAGACAAATCGGTATTTTATTACTTCAATGCAGACTATTAGTTATTGCAATTGTCTCATACTCCAATTAATTTTGTGGTACTTTCACGTGTGGTAATGCATATTTATTGTCAAAATTGATTTCGAAAATTTTATATATCTTTAGTTTTTTAGAAAAACCTGTTAGGTTAATTTTTTTAAAAAAAATTGACATCAAATTTTCTTAATTTTTTTTTCTTCAAAAAACTTTCCAAATTAATTGGAGTATGTAATTGCAAATCAATTAATTAATAAATAAATAATTAACAATTAATTAATAATTAATTAATAATTAATTAATAATTAATAATTAATTTTCTGTTTTGTTTATTAATTAGAAAATTAATTAATTATCCAGTTAATTACAAATTAATTGGATTATGAGACAATTACAATAACTAACAGTTTACNCATAAATTAGTCACCACCTTTTTCTCCTCATGGCAGCGAAGGAATTTTGTAAGAGTCTCCCACAAATTTAATGGATGAGTAATTTCTATCGCTGCTAAGTTCTTAATGTTTCTCTTAAAAATCAGAAGAGGGTTCTACTCTAGCACGCTAGTCATTGAAAATTCTAAAGCAGTTCTTTTCCAGCGATCATCTCACTCTTTTCTCTAAGTTTTATTTAATACTCCAATTTTTATGCCTATATATATATATATATATATATTTCTTAGAGTAATTATACATGTCTTAGAATAATTATATATAATATATATAAAATCGTTAAATCATTGGTGGTGGAACGTAGCATATAATAAAAATATTAGCAACAAAATATTTTTTTGAAGCAAATGAATTAAATACCTGCTTATGAGTCTTTTAAATTAGAAATTTTACTAGGCAAAATGATTTCCCTTGTTCCAAAAATATAAGTTTCCGGCTCTCCTGATTTTGGCATGTAAAATAACGTTCTTTAAAAAGGTGTAAAAAAATTTGTATGCCTTACAATTCAAAACTTTTTTCGACTATTATTAAATAAAATAAAAAATATATATTTACTACTCTCCTGAGCAAACTATTGGGACCATATATCCCACTTTGCCTTTGGGGATCTGAATCCGTTGAAAAAAAGGTATGGATTTCAGAGAAAGTACGTTTTTGTGTCTGTTTTCGTGACGTAAAATATTGTATGCACTAATTAACTAGCATATTTGAGGATAACCAGACGTACCATCAAAATCGAGACCTAGAAAGTGAAGATCCGATTAGATCAAAAATTATTCAGAGTGGTTCTTTTTTTTTTCCCGCACTACAAATTATCCCGTGTGTATAATGTAAATAAATTTTTTCCCTTCCTGTTGCACCTATCAAATGATTGTTTTCCTTCCTTATAAATAATTATGTCCGGTATAATACAAGAGAAATTGAAAGAATTTCGCAAAAAAATGTTTTTAAATATTTCAAAAAGTAAATACGGTGGTCAAATGACGCTTACGATTAATGTCAATGATTGTGACAGCTAAGAGGTAGAGGAAGGTAAGCAATGTTTTTAAAAGATGGGCGCGGAAACCACGTGGGAAGGTTACTTTGGCAGCTTGAATAAACACAAACTGTTATTGGTTGCCTCGTTCTTGTTCGGAAAAAGTCGGAAACATTCGAATTCGAAACAGACCAATTATTTTGCGATACACGAGAGTAACCGAATAGATTCGTGTTCATAACATTCGGCTGACAACGTGCGAGCAACCGAGGAAGAAAACAAACGCTGAAGATAGTTGAAGCGAGAAATTCAGCATCGCCATTTTTAAAACGCGTGGTTTGAAGCTTTTTCGATCGATCATCCACAAAATGAGTATTGCTGCTCTTTTACAAGCAGCTGAATTTTTGGAAAGAAGAGAAAGAGGTTTGTTATGTTATAGCATTATTCTAACAATTCCCGCACCCATTGCATCCGATCAGCTGATTTTGACACATAATGATTAGTTTATGTTTGTTAATGATTCTTCTTCTTTTATTTCAGAAGCAGAGCATGGATACGCTTCTTCAATGCCCGTACAGACTGACATTATTCGCAGAAAGCCAAAATCCAAAAAATCTCAGGGGAACAGGTACAACTAAAATGGAAACACCCATTTTAATAAAATGAAGCAACAAATAACATGCTGCAGTAACATGTTTCTTTGCGATTGTATGCACATAATAATATGCTCTTAAATAATTTAAGTGTGGCAAAGTTGTTTAAATCCCATTCATCTAACGAATTTTACATGGTTTTAATAATCTTATTCAGTTTAGCTATTTAAATTCTTCAGTTTAGCTAACTTTAACATTCTGTTGACAGCTGTTCACCGTTTGTTTTTATTACACGCTTTTGAAGTAATTTTTCTTCAATGCCCATTCAGACTGAAATTGTTTGTAGGAAGCTAAAATCTCAAGGAAACTGGTACAACTAAAATGGTAACATCCATTTAAATAAAATGAAGCAGCAATTGAAATGATGCATTTCTATATTTTTTGCGTTTGTATATTATGTTTATAGATAATTTAAGTGTGATAAATGTGTTAAAATGCACTCATTATTTCTGTTTGTCTCTCTATTTAAGTAATTCAGTATAGTATAACTAACCTTAACGTTCTGTTGACAACTGCTCACTGCCTATTTTTTTCGTGCACATTTAATTTGTTATGTACTGTGAAAGCTCTGTTAATTGTTTTAATTTGGTGAGTCATATTAAGCTTTTTTTTTGCTCACTTTCTATCCAAATTTATACGTGTACAAAATTAGTTAAACTAATTAAGGCATAAGTGACAAATAGATATATTTCTTAGAATTTTTTTTTTGTTTGGTGCTGCACAAATTCTTCTTAAAAATTATAATACCCTCATGTTCTATTCAAATGCTATGTGGTGTGTTTCTAGACAATCAATTATTTATAATTTCTGTCAGGGAGAGCAAGTTTCTTCCATAGTGAAAAAAATTGCTGTGGAAGACTATCTTACTTTACCCAGATGAAAGAAATAGAAAATCTTTTTCATAGAGAAATATATATTTAAAAAAAAAATTAATAGTTTATAATTGCAATCTAGTTATTATATCAAAGTTATTTAATAAAATTTTTACATAAGAAAAAATTATAAGCAACCTATAAATTATCTCAATTAATTCAGCAGGGGTGATTGTGCTCCGGAAAAATTCTGGATTTTTCGCTAACCGTGATCTAAAAGTTTCTAGAAATCCGAAGTCCAGAAGTTTCAAGAAATCATCGATCACATTTATACGTGTATAAAAATTCTTGTATATTTTATTTAAAAATATTAGAACTAGAATTTATACTTGGCATCTCTTTCATTTGTAAATATTTTTTCTGGTAGAATAATAAATATGATTAGAGATAAAAGTAAACTTACACATAATTATTCATTTAAATTATGTTGCATATAATTCATTTAGAATATCATGTTTTGAAAATTTCAATGATTTCAATTTATAAAGATATTAATTTTTTGAATGATTTTACTCCAAGAAATTTTCAGAATTTTTGAGTTGGGGCCACAATCACCCCTGTTTCAGTGTCTCTGAAGAAAATGGTTTCTTGAAAAATTCCAACCTTGATTTCCGATAATTATCTACTATACTAATATTTTATATGAATTTAAAAAATGTACCTAAATTTAGTACTGAACTCCCCAAGCTTTTAAAAACTTAAGTAAAGTACTATAGATAGGTATATTATTTTGAAGAATTTTTGTTTGATGTTGCAGAAAAAATTCAAAGAAATTGTAAAACTCTTTATTGCTATTCTAATATTATGCAAGACCAGAATAGTCTGGTTGGTAGGGTGTTGGCCCCATGTCCAAGAGCTCGTGAGTTTGATCCCCGCCGGCCGAAGACTCTCCATTTACAAAATGGTCACTGGTGCATGCTAAGTCTCTCTGGTTCTCTAAGTCTTCCAAGTTCCCATAACAAATCAATACCTTTAAGTGTACTGGATCGGAGATTGATCATGCTCTAGTTCAGGTCAAAATTACAATCTGCAGATGGATGGATAGTGTGTGAATGTGTCGTCCTTGTAGAAGGGGCAGTGATGTATTTGTGTGTCAGAAGTTGAATTTTTGGCAATAGATGGCGCCACTGTAAATAAGACGAAACGCACCCCCTTGCCTTAAAATTGTCTTGACAGTATTGAAAAATGGCATGCAACAACAAATATTATGTAACGTGTTTCCAGTTAACCAATTGTTCATAATTTCTGATAGTTGTATACTGAAATATTTTGTGTGCATTTATAAAAATATGCCTTAATATAGTAGCGAAATTTCCCAAGTTTTTAAAAATCCTTGTTTTTCCATAATTTCATTGCTTCATAAGGTATTAATCCCTCTAAAAAAGTAAATTAAGTACGCTAGACTTTGTAATCTGCTAACTAAAAGACTAGAGACTAAACTAAAAACTTTTTTAAATTAAGCACTGAATAAAGGACAAAATTGCCTTCATTTTTTTAATTCATCAATTTTAGTAGTTTTTAAAGTTTATTTTCATAGTTGGATTTGGAAGAAACTTAACTTCTTCTCGAACAGCTTTTTTCAACTTAGAATTTGCAAATCTTTCTATTGTTATTGTTAGTTGTGTGTATGCATCTAATAATAAATAAATGAAAATTTGAATTGGCAAACTTTTATGGTGGATAAAGCTGATACAAAGAAATGTGTTTCTTCCCGTTATCAGAAGTAAGAGAATTGTATAATTTTCGATCATAAACAATGAAATTTTTAAGTTCTGATTAATTTTTTAACTGACATGTTTATACCAATAACATGCTTAACCAATAGATTAAAGACCAAGTAAGAATGGAAATTTTTGAGGGTAATTATGAAATAAATCATAAATTTATTCATTTTGCTAATAATGTGAACAATCAAGAAGGTGTCTGTTTAATTTATTGGAAATAGGATAGACGTGATAACTAGAAGAAATTAAAAATGACTAATTTTTTTAGCAATAGGTTTTATTTATAACTTAAATTTAAACAAATTAAATTTATAAGACTAGAAATTTTACAAGATACTTTTTTTTAAAAATCTAACTATTTTTCGCATTATTCCTTTTAGTTTTATGCAGAATTTTAAAATTCATATTATTTAAGAGGTGGTTCAATTATTTAAACTTAACATTATTTGGTTATTAAATTAACATGCTATTTGTAATTGAAAATACAGTATGAGATTTGTTGAAGTGTATTTGTTTAGTATGTAGTTTTTTAAGTTAGTTGTATTTGTAAATTTTGATTATAAGGTTTCAACAGTTCTTTATATAATTATAAAATATAAGGTATTATTGTACTCATTTCCATAAAATATTGAAGGACTACAGTTAATTTAATTTCTTAAAAAATAATTAGATTAAATTTTCATTCCAATAGTTGCTTTTTAATTTTCATATATTTAAAAGTGTTGGTTAAATAGCTCGGAAATCGATTGACTCGGAACTAGATTGCAATTCTTAGCTTTTTAGAGGATATATATATGTATACAATGAAACCTCACATTATGGACACTCCTACAAAATGGGTGCCTCTTTTTATAAACATATTTTACATTCCCTGTAAATCTTCTATGAATAAACCGTTGTGTACCTTTCCCGCAAAGCGGACACTCGTTTAACCGGACGCGGACAGTCATTTATGCTCTGACATGTTATTTTCTTTCTCTTCAAACTGGACGTTAATTTTTCTGATTTTGAGGGGGGGGGGAGACCATTTCTGCTTTAAATTCTAAGGGAAATATGCAATGGTCCTTCATTCTTAAAGCATGTAAATTTTTTGGCTTAGCCGCAAGTAAAAATATCAATCATTGTCCTTCCTTTGTCTTAGCAAAGAAAGGATGCTGGTCATGCGAAGTGTTTGAGGCTTCAGCATCTTTTCATCTGGACAATACTGGCTATGAGACCCCACAAGTTGGTATGGCACTTTAAATGCCCTTACCCACTGAAAATTCCTTTTTACTGCTAATTAATTTGGAGACTGCATTTTTCACAGTTGGGTTTTTTTTAAAAAAGAGAACAGAAATCTAGTGATTGAGGTGTAAATAAATGAAACATTTATTCAGACATTTGACATATGATCAATTGTGAATGTTGAAGACCCCCATAGGGTCTTGAAACTTACGAGTATGCATTGCTGCTTTTTTTTTCCATCATGGGAATCTTCAATAAGGTATCACCACATTTCATATTAAGTGATTGGAAGGTGTTAGACTGGGGCTAAACCTAATAATAAAACTGTCTGAGGAAGTGACATGAAACTATAAGTGCCTATTTGGTATCAGATGGCTAACTTGAATGTCTGTTTAAATAGAAAAAACGTACTCATTTCTCTGTAGCGACATCTAAAATGATGTATAAATATCAAATTTTTTCATAGATTCTTTTTTGTATTGAAAAATAGTATTTTTTAACGTTAAATAAATATAACTGTAAATAGCTATTGTGGATTATTTATATATCTGGACAATACAATAACTCTAAAAATGGTGTTAAAATTTATTATTAGTGTATCCTTCCTGTTACTGTACAGCTCTCATAAGCAGACAATTTTTTCGGTCCCATCAGTGTCCGTTTAACAGAGGTATATATATATATTTGTTTGATTTTTCATTTTGAAAAAGAGTTTCTTCCACTTGTGTTAGAAATCGATTTTTCCTCTTGAGCAGTTTTACCATGGGAAAGAAACTTGCCATTCCTGCTTTATTGACTAGTTCATTGTTTTCAATAATGCTTAAAAATTATATATTAGTTCTATTCAAAAATCTAACATTCGTTGCCATGAAATATTGTAGATAAAATAAAATGACAAGTAGATAGATTTCATTATTAGATTTCCTCCTTTGGATAAGTAAAATGAATTTAATTGAAGATAATATATATTGTAGGATTTTTTTTAAACTTGATATAAAATTCTTCACATTAGTTTCTGGTGCTATTTTCTGTTGTTGCATTTTTTTTTTTTTTTTTTTTTTTTTTTTTTTTTTTTTTTTTTTTTTTNTTTTTTTTTTGGTTTTAAAGAAATATTAATTCTGATCCTTACATTCTGAACATTAGTATATCTGCGGC